TATTTCTGTGTATTCTTATGTCTGTGTCGAGTGTTATCCCTGTCTCTTATACACATCTATATTTTACATATACATACTTACGCATTAAAAAAAATTAAAAAAAGAAAATATGAAAACAATTGATTAAAATAAAATAAAAATTAAAAAAAAATGTTAATACTAAAAATAAAAATATAAAAACAAATTTGTAATAACAAGTAAAATTAGTCTGCCAAAACAACTGTTTATATAAAATATTTACAACAACATACATTGCATTTACTTACGCATTCCGCTTCTTAATTATGGAAAATATGCTTGTAAATTGCTCATAAAATTATCTCCTCGCAATTTGCCGTTAGTTGTCGTGTCTGCGGCTACGCTGTTATGCCAGAAAGCGCGCGACGTAAGGCGCACTTTGGTATTTGATTTGCGCATCAAATACAATTTTCGCAATTGTAAACATTTTCAAATTAAAATTGAAATCATAAACTTTCAAAGTTTATAAATTTCGTATTTCAACACACTGCAACAAATTCTACGACAACAACAGCTACCACACAATTTGTCTACAAGTTCATATATTATATATGTATGTATATATTATATATATATATATACATATATATATGTACACACTCACGTGAGTTATTCTCTATAATTATTGCATTTTATAGTAACAAAGGGGCTCTTGTTTGACAATACACACTTCACATGCGATTTATGAGCGTCAATTTGATTTACGACACTTTTACAGCTTCTATATAATAACTGTGTATGTGTGTTATTACTGTAGGTGCTGCTGTGAGTTGAAACAAAGCAATAGCTATTCATTAGATTATGAATTGATTGGTTCATCGGTCAGCCATAACCACACGCTGGTCATTGAAAAGTGTAAAAAGTTTGAAAAGCAAGTGTGAATTCTCTGGAAATGAATTTTATTTGTTATTTTAAGTCTAAAATGCGAAAATAATTATCAGTAAAAATTGTTCTCTTTTTTTGTTTTTTGTAAGCGAAGGCAATTATTATAATTTTTTTACTAGTGGCAATAAAATAAAAATTATTTGTGTCTGAGGAAATCAAAATATTTTTTTTTTACTTTATTGCTCTTAGCGATGTCTGGAAATTGAATAAATTATATATAAATGTACAAAAATTAAATTGATACAAATTAGAATATAATGTTTAATTTTTATTTCAATTCTGGAAAGAGTAAACAATTATTTTTGATTTTTTCCGAATTTTTAAATTATCAAAAAATCGAAAATTCTTGAAAATTGTTGATTTAATGAGAATTTTTATTTATACCCAGTATTAAGTTTGCCACGATGTTTGTAACACCAAGAAAAAAAATAATAAATGGTTTAAGCCATGCTTGTATATCTGTTCTCATGTGTATGGGAGAACTAGTCTCCTAGTTTTTGAGATAACGGTCTGAAACTTTACACACGTTAATTTTTCGCCAAGTAGCAGATCATTTCCAGAATCAATAATATCAGATCACTATAACATATAGCTGTCATACAAACTAAACGATCGGAACAATGTGCTTGTATGTAAAACTTTTTTATTTGACAAGATATATTGAAATTCGGTATTAATTATTATCCAAAGAAATGGAGACTTTGTTTAGATCGAACTACTATGGCATATAGTTGCGATACAAACTGACCGTTGAAAATCTAGTAATGGAAAATTTTCATATTTAAGACAAATATCTGTACAAAATTCGGCATAAATTATCACGCATGATAATGCTATAATCCCGGAATATATCATTCAGATCGGATCACTATAGCATATAGCTACCATACAAACAGAAATATGACAACAAAGTTTTGGTACAGAAAACTTTTTTATATGACGAGATATCTTTATTATCTGGGGTAACGCTACCATCCCCGGAGAAATTGTTTAGATCGAAGTACTATAGCATATAGCCGACATATGACCGAACAAAATCTAGGTCCTATGGACAACTTTCATATTTGACAGAAATATCTGCATGAAATTCGACACAAACTATTACGCAATATAATGCTATAATTTCCGAACATATGATTGAGATTGGATCCCTATTACATATAGCTGTCACACACACTAAACGATCGGAGAAAGTGCTTGTATGAAAAACTTTTTTGTTTGACAAGATAACTTCATTAAATTTGCTATCAATTATTGTCCAGAGCTATGGTACTATATCCGAATAAATTGTTTAGATCGAGCTACTATATGCTATAGTTGCCATATAAACTGACCGATCAAAATCGAGTTAAAGAGTTTTATACCCTTTTCTGCCATAATAAATACACCTGTGTAGGATACAATTCACATGTGAGTGGTATAATACACCTCTGTAGGGTATAATACACCTGTGTAGGGTATGCTACTTCATTGCAGCCAAAGTTAGCATTTTTTCTTTATTTCCCCTGTGTTATTCAATATTTCATCATGTCTAACCCATAAATTACCTCCACACAAACTACAACAAGCAATAATTATTATTTACACAAATTTTAACAAGAAAAGTTCAAAGAAAAATTGAACCCAACTTACACATATTTAAACATGCCTGCATGAATAATGAAACGTGCAACATTTGTAAAAGCATTTCGAGCAGCTATGCCCGATTCGCTGCTAAAAATATCAGCCTCATACTTGCCCCCATTTTCGCGCTGAACCAAATTGAGCAGAAAGCTATAAAAATCCAAATTTATCATTTCGTAAAATAAATATTTAGAAATCCAATAAAATGTGTGCGGGCAGCGTTGACATTGAACGTGAACTCGCATTGGTTGTTTGCCTGATTTACATATTTACTCGCGCTCATTTTTTTCTTCAAAATTTTTTTTCCATTTTTCTGCTTGAAACAATAAAATTATTTGTGAAATTCTTCCAAAATAAATTAAAATTACGAGTGTAAACACACGCTAGCTAGTCGCCCAGCTAGCGCACAATGAAGACAAAACACAAAGCAAAGCAAAGCAAGTAAACAGCAAGCAAATAAATGAGCAGCCGTGAGTGAGTAACTGCGGCAGCTCCCAGCGAGGCGTGTTGGTCCAAGGCCAGAGGATGTAGTCAATGTACTCATAGGTACGAAATACGAAAGTCTAGCGAACACACACGATAATAACAACCACAACAACAATAACAAGAGCAACAACGAACACATGTGCACCTACATTAATTGTAACGGTAGATTTGTATATAGATATTTGCGGGGAAAAATAGCGAGCAATGAATTTCAACAAACGAAATGTAAATAAGTTTATTTTCTTTTGTTGTTATTGTTGTTACGAAATAGCATCATTGGTGCTTTCACAGCCCACAGGTCAACTCGCTCATGTGTATTCGCATAACGAATGCTTTAATGAGCAATAAAACGGCGAACAGCGAGCACTGTAGAGAACATTTCAAAGGCGCACTAGCGTCCACGTCCCATCCGCCAGCACGCTGTGCTTTGTCTAACGGTTGTACAAAAACCATGCAAACAAATAAACAGCATCGCTGGCAGGTAAATGCACAGTGTAAACGAAATTTTGCGCAAAAACCGCGAATGGCTAATGTCGACTGCCGACGCTGATGTTCGCGGCGGACGGACAATCACTAAACTCACAGTGACTTAATAATTCAAGCCATAAGCAATTATAACGGCATGCTGCTGCTGTCCGCCAATGCAAACTATGTGTGTAAATAAACTGAATGAACGCCCACAGCACAAATGGTTATGCCACACAGAGGCGCGCGCACACACACACACTCACCGAGAGCCGCTAAGTAACTCACACTCTTATTCCCCCTGTGTGGCGCTCATTTCGCTTTCTCATTTGTACGCGTAGATTTGGTCAATTACCGAGCGCTGCCTAGCGCTACGCCTGATTGAATGGATAGCAATGCAGATTTTCATTTTCATTTTAGTTCCCATTGAAAACTGTGCTGCCGTGTCCAACGCTCGCTCGCTCGCTTGCTCGCCTGTCTCGCGTTCGTCAACAGCGCATATAAATTTTAATAAAAACGCGAGTTTCAAGTGCATAGAGTTCCGGTGGGATTGTCGTTGTCGTTAATCAGCAAGCAGCCAGCCCTTCGAGCGGACGCGGTTACGTATACGCCTCGGTGTCTGCAATTGTATTTGGGAAAAAGTTTGCAACTTACATAATAACAAAGCGCGGCTCAAACGCGTGTGTTTGTGCGCGACGTGTCACTATACGCTTGTGTAAGTGTTTGTGTGTGTGTGCGGGTAGTGAATTGAATGAAATTGAATGCGTCCTCTGCCAATTAAACGTTTTAACGCTTGAGCGCGTCACTCATACGCCCCGCCGGATGTCTGTGTGCCGAGAATTTTGTAGTATTGTGTGTAGTGTAGTTTTTTCTAATGTGCGCGCATTTTATTACTTTTATTGTGAAAAATAAAATCACATATGCAATCACGCTACCCCTTTTGTGTGATCTAACAAATGATCTGTGTTTAGTAGTTGCTAGCTGGAGGGTATTGTGCATCTCCACATATACATATATGAATATGTGTGTGTAGAGTTGTTATTGTACATTGATTTAATCAGTAAACACACGCTGGCTCGTAAAATCGCATGAATGAAAGGTTTCATTGTTGCGTTGCCAGCTTGAAAATGCGGAAATGTGCGCACATAAAAAACGCAGCTTTTAATTGCATTAGCGTAACTGTCGACTTTGTTTTGAATTTCCTTAATTTGCGAAAATTTATGCTACTATTGCGTATTGTGGAGAAGTTTGAGAATTTTTCGCGATATTATGAAATATTTCGAATTTGAAGTTCAGCTCTTATTTTCGAAACAGTAAGCAATACTCAGCTATTCAACATCAGCCTGAATGTAGGCAAGCTTTTATTTTTTTATATCGGAAAATTGAATGAAATAAATGTGAGTAGATGTTGGCTGTGTTTATAATAATAGTTGTAGGTGAATTTGAAATAAATAAATTCAAAAAAATCTGAATATGAAAAAAAAAGGAAAATTAGAAAAAAAACCATTTAAATAAATATAAAAATAGTTGAAATCGAATTAAAAAATAAAAATTATATAAAATTATAAAAATTCAAAGCGAAGCTTAAATAATAAAAGAAAATGTTAAAATAGTTATAATTGAAACTTAAAAAGTAAACATAAAAATTTCTAAACGCTAAAAAATGAAGCTTAAATAAAAAAATAATAATGTCAAAGTGTTAAAATGTTAAAATAATTATAATCGAAACTTAAAAAATGAACAAAAACAATGAAATATTCAAAATTGTATTATTATAAAACTTTAAACATTTATTTTAATCAAAAATGTAATAAAAAACGAATAAAAATATAATCAAAAGTATTTTAACAAAAATGTTGAAGTAAGTAATTATTTAAAAAAGTAAATCGAAGTAATTAAAAAGAAAAATAATATTTTCTAATAATTTTTGTTACACATAGCAAATATTATTTAAAATATTTAATTCATAAAAAATCAAAAATACAAAAAACATATGTTTTTAATTCCATTTAATTTTTTTAAGTTTTTTATAGACAGTTTTTCAATCAATTTAATATTTTTTGATGATAATTGTCAAAATGCTAAAAAACGAAGCTTAAATAATAAAGAAAAACATAAAAAATTTGAAAAATGTTAAAATTGGAGCATACAAAATAAATAAAAATAAGCAAATATTCAAAAATATATTAGCAAACTTTTGAAATAAATATTTAAAAAAAAAATTAAAAAAAGAAATAATAACTTTTGTTAAATATAACACATATTTTTAACAAAACTTTGTTAATAAAAAATTTTAAAATACAAAAAGACATATCTTTCTAATTCCATTTAATTTTTTTCATTCTTTTATTTAATATTTTTTAAATCAATTTAATTTTTTGTGATAGTAAACCCAAATAAATCAAGAAATTAGTATTTAATAACTCGAAAAAATTAAAGTCAATATTTATATAAAATTTATACAAATATTTAGTAATTGTAAAAGTCTTTTCGTATTTCAAATCAAACTTAAACTTGTTTGTCTTTTGTAATGAACTTTAATGAACCAAATATATACCATTTTGGTCAAACACTTTTTTATATTTTTCCGCTAGCTCTGCATTGGCCGAAACAAATGGTAGTCAAGGTCAGGACTATATGGCGGATGGATCAAAACTTCCCAGGCAAGCTGCCCCAACTTTTGCCAAGTCATCAAAGATGTGTGTGTCCTGAAGAAAGACGAAGAAGCCCTTTCTGTTGATTAGTTCTGGTTGTTTTTTCCGATTGTGTGCTTTAGCCTCATCAGTGGTTGACAGTAAAATGTAGAATCAATCGTTCGACCTGGTAGGAGCAGCTCATAGTGGATGATTTCTTTMCAATCCCACCAAACACTCAGCAAAACCTTTCGTGGCGTCAATCCTGGTTTTGCGACCATTTGTTGAGCTTCACGACGTTTGGACCATGATCTTTTTCGCACATTATCGTCGTATTTGATTCACTTTTCGTCTTCTCTTACCAATCGCATCAGAAACAGATCGATTTCATTTCGTTTCAGCAAAGAATCGCAGATGCTAATTCGATCCATTCAATTTTTCACAAACAATTCATGTGATACCCAAACACCGACCGAGCTTATTTTTGTGGCCAACTTTTTTTAAATGGTTCAAAACCGTTTGATGAAGAATGCTAAGTTCCTTAGCGATTTCTTGGCTGCTTATGTGATGGTAATGGTCAATATTTTCCAAAATTTCATCGATTTTTTCAACGATAGGTCGACTAGGGCGAGGTGCATCTTTCACGTCGAAACTTCCAGAACGGAAGCGAGTGAACCATTCATGTGCACGTCTCCGTAAACTTCACAAATTTCATTGGTGGCTTGCGTGACTTTCTTCCATTTTTTATGAAAAAATTTTCAAAATATAGCGAATTTCTTCATTATTTGAAGAGCTGTAACTTTTTTTCAACTATCCTGAGCTTTATTTTTTTTTGGTTAAATGAAACTTTAAATCTCACCCTTATGAAAAGTGATGTTACGTTTTATTTTTCTCACATATATTGAAGAAAATCAAGTAGCATAAACGATTATTTATAATTCTTGAATATCAAAAACTTATTGACCCCTCAATTGAAGTAATTAAAATGCACACTTACGCGACAAGTTAAAGCAAATTTCAATACAATATTCTAAAGCTTACCGATTTTCGATTTTGATCAGCGCTCCACATTTGACTCATTAACTACATTTCTATTGACGAAATTCTTAAAAAGTTCAATGTACACATTAGAATATTTAAAACACACCAGCAAAAAAATAAAATAAATTGTATTTGTTTATAAGGGAACCACAAGCAATTCTTCTTCTGTACATATATACCATAAGTACACATGTATGAGTCCGTGTGTGCGTGTGTATATTTGGAGTGACTTCACGGCAATTAAAAGACATTGACTCGGGCGAACAAGTTTTCAAGTAAAGTTCACGTTGCCTTTTGAAACGCAATTAAGTGACATTTTAGATAAAATTTTTTAGCTGTTTATTAAGATTGTATTTGTATTTTTTTGTTTGCGCAATTCTGACTTGTATATCAACTATGTCAAGTGTATATGAGTGATTTTTAATTAAAACGTATTCAGGGTTAAGGTACGGAGAGCAGCGAAAATATTTGCATAGGAATGAAATGCTTGGAAGACATTCATTTATAGGTTAGAATATACTATAAGTGCGTAAAAAATGTTATTGGAGCAGAAAAACTGAAAACCAATAGCAAATAAGGGAAATCATATCGTCACCTCAAATGAAAAACCGCCTATCATAAAAAAAACCGAAAATTGCTGTCGGTTATAATAACCAATATATAAACATTTTATAGCCAAAACTCAAATACTGTCATGGCCATATGAGTGTATGATAACCAATATATAACCATTTTATAACCAAAACCCAAATTTAAATTTTCAATTTGCATGCTTTCTATTACTTAGTTTTTCCTTCGCCTGTAAACTTATGAATAGTGATGTTACGTTATTTTGCAGTTTAGGTGAAGATATATAAAATCCATATGTATTTATAAGTAAAAATTACCGTTTTATAAAAAATATTTGAATAAAATTACCGGTAAATGGTAAATTTTCATAATAGTTTAGAGAAAATAACTTTAGTTTGCCTTTAACCACCTAAATTTAACAATATTGGAATTATTTTTCGAATAGGGTTGTCATTCTTCAATGAAAATTTAGTCATTATAATGAAAAGTCACAATTATTTCGTGGGAAGTGTTGAACTATTAATCATAAATATTTATTATTACTCTTTTATGGAGAATACTTTTCTTTCAGAAATGTATTTCTACGAAATTTAGCAATTTTTTGCAGTAATTTCATTTAGAAAAAAAAATTAAAATTAAAATGATTTATTTTTTTGCCGATCACGAAATGGGAAATATTGTATTAGTTAATTTTTTTGGTATTGGTGGCAACCCTATAAATTTGCCCATCTGTAATTAATTGAAAAATTTTGTAGTGAATACGAATTAAAAAAGTTTATTATTTTAAAAGTTTTTGTTGTATATGGTTGCCATCTATCAATAACCCCAACTGTATTTAATTGAAAATTTTTGTTTATCATTTGGATTTAACACTAGTGAATACGAAGTATATAATATTTTTTTACTTTTATAATTTTTGTGTGTATGGTTGCCACCTATTATTAATTCCAACTGTAATTTATTGAAAAAATTTTTTATCTTTTAGACTTTACACTAATGAATACGAAGTAGAGAATATTTTATTTTTTTATAATACTTTTTTGTATGTGGTTGCCACTTATCAATAACCACAACTATAATCAATTGAACAATTTTGTTATCATTTCAATTTTAGACTAGCGAATACGAAAAGAGAATTTTTGCAAAGTTTTATATATATGTATATATTTTTTTAATTTGGTTGCCACTTATCAATAATCCATATTTCTACCCTTATGATTTTTATATATGTATTTATATACCTGTACTATGCTGAAATGTGCGGCAGTTTTTTCAACAAATAAGAGTATATTTGTTAAAATTCAAGGTTACCATACTTTATTTATGCAAATGTTCATATTTTTATTGAAGAGTTGCCATTTATAATTACAGCACATGAAAAACTCAGTATTCACTTGTTCAATAAATAGAAGTAAGAATCTTAATTAACAATCACAATTTTAAGAAATTTTTGTGGAAAGAAATAAACACT